GAGGCCAAGAAGGCCGAGCGGGCGGAGGCCGAGAAGGGCGGGCGGCGGCGGGTGGGCGGCGAGTTTCTGGTGAAGCTGGACCACGAGGGTGTGACCTCCCCCAAGAACAAGAACTGCAAGGCGCTGCTGGCGGGGGACAAGGACTTGGGCCCCAAGCTAGGGCGGCCCCTGCCCAGCCCCAGCTACCCACACCCAGCTGTCCTGGGCAAGGACAAGAAGGGGCGGGCACCCGTGCCCCCGCTGCCCATGGGGCTGGCACTGCGCAAGTACACTGGCCAGGCTGAATGCCCGCTGCCATGTGACAGCGACTGCCCCAGCTCCTACTCGGAGGACGAGGACGAGGCGGGGCTGGCCGCCGGCGTGCCCTCTCGCTTCCTCGCCCGCCTGTCTGCGTCCTCCTCCTCGTCCGGCTCGTCCACCTCCTCCTCCTCAGGCTCCGTGTCCACCTCCTGCCTCTGCTCCTCGGACAACGAGGACTCCTCCTGCAGCTGGGACGACGAGGACCCGGCCCTGCTGCTGCAGACCTGCCTCGCGCACCCCGTGCCCGCGCTCCTGGCCCAGCCCGAGGCCCTGCCCCCCAAGGGGGGCGGCCCCGACGCACACGCCCAGCGCTGCTTCCTGTCCAGGGCCCCGGTGGCCACTGTGGGCGCAGGTGCCGGCCCCAGCAGCACCAAGCCCAGGCTCAGGCGCAGGGAGGCCCTGAGCTGCTCCAGAGCCAAAGAGCTTTCCCGGAGGCAGCGGCTGCCCTCCGCGGAGAACCGGCCAAAGATCTCCGCCTTCCTGCCTGCCCAGCAGCTCTGGAAGTGGTCAGGGAGCCCCACACAGGTAGATGGGCCCCGCCCCAGGCGGGGGGCTGGGAATCCTGCAGGCAGCTCCCATTCCCGTCCCCTTTTTCACTTCATTTTTAATGTTTTAACATCTCCGTGAAAAGCACGTGTGCACACAGCTAGTGTGAGAGGCAAGCTCTCCCCAGCGTCCTGCCACGGCCGTCGCCGTCCTCCAGCTCTTGGGCAGGCACGGGTACCCACTGCCCCGCGTCCCGCTGGCCAGGCCGGGTTCTAACACTGCCCCGCGTCCCGCTGGCCAGGCCGGGCTCTGACCACAGTCGCCACGTGGGGCCGTGCTTCTCGGGCAGCACTGGGGCACTGCAGCAGAGTCAGGCCCTCTCTCCAGCTTTCTGTTTGATTTCAACTAAAACATTGGAAAATTAGGGAGAAAACCCACCTATGACCCGGACAGCCACTAGCCTCTGCCTCCGTCCGCGTGGTCTCGTGCATGTGGCTGAGCTAGGGGGTGCGGCATGAGGGTTCTCCTGAGTTGGAGGCCACGGTCTCCCTGCAGTGACGCACCCATCCTGCCAGCGTTCCAGGTGGGCGTGGGCATCGAGGCTGGCCCCTGGAACAGCGCATCGTGTGGACGTCAGTGTGCCCACGTATACGCACTGCCCGAGACCTCCTGGGCTTCTCCCTGCAGACCAGGCGGGGTGTCCTCACACGTGTCCCTTCCCAGATCCAGGGGCCCTTCAGAGTCGGCCACGTCTCAATGCCAGGTGTGCGGGGCAGACCCAGGAGCGGCCACGTGGTGGGCCCGGGCCCTCCCTGCCGCAGCTGTGCTCTGTGGCCAGCCCTGGCAGGGGCCCCTGTGCACACACACCCCCGACGTTGTCCCTGAGCCCCTTCCTCTCCCCATCCCCTGCCCTGCTGTCCCCCACAGCGGCGCGGTGTGAAGGGCAAGGCCCGGAAGCTGTTCTACAAGGCCATCGTCCGGGGCAAGGAGACACTGCGAGTCGGGGACTGCGCCGTCTTCCTGTCGGCCGGGCGGCCCAACCTGCCCTACGTAGGCCGCATCGAGAGCATGTGGGAGTCCTGGGGCAGCAACATGGTGGTGAAGGTCAAGTGGTTCTACCACCCGGAGGAGACCAAGCTGGGGAAACGGCAGGGCGATGGGAAGGTGAGGGCAGGCCGGGCTGGGCTGGAGGGTGCAGGGGCCCCCCGGGGAAGTCAGCGTCTGGGCGGCCGTGCCACCTGCTGAGACCCGGGGAGAGCCTCCCTGCCCCGCTGGGTCTTACACCCGCTGCCAGATGGGCGATGGCATCACCTTAGGGCAGTGGGAGGTCGTGGCCCCTCTGGCCGAGCAGGTGGGCTTACACCTGGACCCGCTGCTGCTGGCTGCCCCTGTGCGGCCGCGACAGAACCCCCACCCCCCCGAGGAGGAGTGGGTTTTCAGACAGCGCAGACCAGCCCGCCGCAAGGGGGAGCAGGCGTCTCTGCAGCTCCAGCGCCGCCCCGCCCCCGCTTCGCGGCGGTGCGCAGAGGCTGGCCGAGGGCCTCGCAGAGCAGGGCTCTCCTGGCCCAGCCGACCGCTGACGCTGCTTGCCCCGCCCGCAGAACGCCCTGTACCAGTCCTGCCATGAGGACGAGAACGACGTGCAGACCATCTCCCACAAGTGCCAGGTGGTGGGCCGGGAGCAGTACGAGCAGCTGGCCCGTGGCCCCCGGCTCCAGGACCGGCAAGACCTCTACTACCTGGCGGGCACCTACGACCCCACCACCGGGCGCCTGGTGACTGCCGACGGTGTGCCCGTCCTGTGCTGAGCCTGCCACAGGCTCCTCCCCCCCACTCG